TTTAAGTATTTGCTATTGACTGTTCAAATGCGGAGTTTTGCGCATCGTGTGTGCGCGCGCGTGTGTGTGTGAGAGAGAGAGAGACAGGGTCGCATCACAGTGGAGTCAGCTGTCTTAACCGCAGCTTGTGTACTGCATCATTACTGTGTCTGTTCCCCTTTCGGGCTTGAACAGATGGTAAAACTAAAGACATTATTTACTGTCTTTACATTTATTTTGAAAGATGAAGCTCGCGATTATGGTAAGGGGCGTTACATTTCCGACGAGTGCTTGCGGTGTTCGGCCAATCACAATGCACTGGGTCAGCTGGCCAATCAGAGCAGACTGCGCTTGTCGGAAGGAGGGACTTTGTAGAAAACGAAGCGTTTGAGAGAGGCGGGGCATAGAGGACTTACAATAATGTACAGTATTTGAAAAATAATGTGTTTTTTGAACATTAAAGCATGTCAACATATTCTGTTACACCAAATACACAAAATGATGATCTTTAAAAAAGCATCATATGACCCCTTTAAAAACACCATTCCGTACACCCGCGTTCCTTCCAAACCGGTCAATCAGCACATGCAACCGTGATGACACATCTAGCATTTCCTCTTGGGTCACCCGTAGCAATCACACAGAATGTGTTACTATGTTTAAGCGTTACTTTCAAGCTGTGTGGCTTTTGTTTCACATTCATTACTCAGAGAGGGTTATAGTGCAACTCACTCGCACAAAGCTGGAGGGAAACCAGGCCTCACGGTCGCCCACCGCCCCCCACCACCAGTCCTGCTCCTGAACATCCAGAACCCGGATCACATCCCCGGCTTTGAAGGCCAGCTCCTGCTCTTCCATTGTGACATGGTCCCACAGAGCCTCTGCATACACGGCATGACCCGACTGTATGTACTGGAGAAAGAGAGAGATTATAGTCAGGCTAAACATATTGAGGCTAAAGGTCAGATTAGACGACACGATAAGAACAGTACGGAATAACATCATGCACAAGAAGTGCGACGATCCCATACAAGTACATATGCAAACACTAAAACAACTTTGCACATACACACATGATTGAACAGATAAGATAAACACTGAATTATGAGATGTACTGTATAGCACAGCCTATAAGTGCCAACAACAGTAAAAAAAAAAACACAGTAAAAATGTGTAAATGTGCTGAAAGTAGATCTCATATAACATTAAAGGTGCACAACTAACGTTAAAGGTGTGCTACTTTAAAATGTTAACCCCTACAGTTAAGTTTACAAAATTAATAGTATATTTGACAAATATGTTTACAATAATGTTCAAGTGATGAATTACAGTCATTTCTAAAAAAAAAAGCTATAAATATATCCAATAAAAAAACACGTAAATACAGTCAGTCTACAAAAATTAAAATATATAAAATATTATATATTTATATAAATGATATATTATTTATAAACACACATTTGTACTTGTACTTATAATTATTAAATTTAAACTGTACATGTAATAAATTATAATATATAATAAATTACAATAATTAATAATTATTGCTAAATAATAATAATAATATAATAATATTATAATGATATAATTAATTAATCATTATTATTATAATATTAAAAATTAAAATTATGATACCTGATTGAGAGTGAAAAGGTCGACTTCCGGTTGGAGATATGGTGTTCCTTCAGTCAGTTCTTCAAAGCTGCCGTCCTCCTCACTCACACTGTCATCGAGCATTGGATCAGAGCTCCCATCTATAATATAACCACATTGAATGAGGTTAGAAATTATGGTATAAGAATCAATATTCATCAAAACAATCTCACCATTGAGGCTCTTATGTTTGTAGGTCAAGTGCACACACTCAGGCATATTAACAGAAACACACTCACCGCTGAGCACTCTGCGCCCTTTGCGCCGCCCCATCCTATCCAGACCGATAGGTGTGCTTTGGGAGAAGACGCAGGGTCTCAGGCGGGCAGACACGGCCCGGTATGGAGGCACTCTGTGAGAGGGAACTGGAGGACGAGATACCGGCTGAAACAAAGGATGACAGATTAGACTTTAATCGGCAGCCTTAAAAGGAGCCCACTGTCCAGCAGGACTTATGTTCAGAGTTCAGTGACTGTACAGAGCAGGACAATGACCTATGACTAGATAATAAACAGTGCAATTTTAGCTCATCCGCTCGGCCAAGTACATAACATTACAAACATAACTTTGAATTTCATGCTGGACAATAAAACTTTTAACTTCACTCTCTTAACCCTGAAGTTATTTAATAATGTATTTTTAACAGTGTAATTTTTTTTTAAACAAAAATTAGTTTGAGATCAAACAATAATTTGTCTCCTGCAGTACTGCTGTGGACCCCTGTTGAAGACCACTGTATTACAGTAATGAGAATCAGATTTAATAATAAGATTAAAAAAAAGATCCTAAAAACAGGCTTAATTTTCTCATATATTATTTACAAGTTTTGTGAGATTCACCATTTAACAGGTCACTGAAATGATGCATCAAGGAAATGACTGTCTGATGCAGCGTTTTTCTAAATCGTTGTTGTTGCTAAAGAAGAAAAGTAGTTACATTCAGGGTTTAAGAAGTTCTTTCAAGCTACCTGAACTGTGACATTATAAACCCATAAAGCTACACCCCAAGGAAGAGACCTACTGGGACCACATTAGTGTTTAGATCGCCAAACATCTGTATGTTATTAAGGATTGAGCTTCTGAGAAACTTCTGCAGGAACCATGTCAATTATTTTCATCAGCCAATATTGCTGAACACTCTTCGAAATGCACTCACTATAGCTAGACTAGTCATAGTACTTAAGTTATTTTGATAAGAAAGCATCTGCTCACAAAATAAATGCCAATGTAAGCAGATTTCAAAGTCCACAAGGCCTATCTGAGCAATGGCATGAACAAATGCTTCTGACACATAAATAGCTGTTGTACTCAAAGGGACATGGGTCTGAATCAGGCCTGTATCATGGATCAATCCATTAATTCTGCTGTAAGTGTTTTTTTTAAGACCTTACATTAAGCGTCCCGACTAGAGTCTTTAGCCAATTAGAAATGCCAGCCTCATTGCATACATTTTGGCAAACCTGTTCTAAAACACTTGATTTGATTTGGCTAATGGTGCAGAAATTTAACAACAAAACAAAATTTGGAGAAATGGCCTTACAGAAGGCAAGCTTTCAGTGTCGTCCTTCTGCTCAGCAGTTGGGGATGAAAACAGATCCACTCCTCCAATAACAGAGATGGGACGTCTCTTTCTGCTCTCTGTTTGAGTGCACACATGACCATTCTCAGGTCTGTTACTCTCTGTGTAGCTGCCATTGGTATTGTAGTCCTTCTGGGAAGTGTAGTCCATAGTCTCAGACTCCCTGTCCTCCTCTGGGATGCAGTACTTTGAGCTGGCCAGCTGGCCATAGTCAGACACTGGCCGGGGTCTGGAGCGACCTGCCCTTTTCCTGGCCACTACAGAAGCGGGAGAGTCACTGGCAAAGGGTGGAGAGATTGGTGTTGTTGGAGTTACCAGGGGGGATTCTGAGGAACAGGTGTTTGCGATAGGTGAAGCAGCAGCGGTTGAGATCTCATCACTTTTGAGAAACGCTTTTGTGATATCTGATGAAGCCTAGAGGAGAAGACAAATATCATCAGTTAGTTTAAAACGAATACATTGTAATTGCAGGCATATTTAATTATTTTGTTATTAGTTTTTAACATTTAGTTTCAATTTCTAGCATATTTTACATGAATCAGAAAAATATGCTTCTATTTTTCATTTAATGTTAAGCTAAATGTGTCCTTACAAAAAAAAAAAGCAATTTACTATGTATTCGTTTTTAAAATTCTAATAATAGCTGAAAATTATTTCTCTCTGTTTGAGTGCACACATGACCATTCTCAGGTCTGTTACTCTCTGTGTAGCTGCCATTGGTATTGTAGTCCTTCTGGGAAGTGTAGTCCATAGTCTCAGACTCCCTGTCCTCCTCTGGGATGCAGTACTTTGAGCTGGCCAGCTGGCCATAGTCAGACACTGGCCGGGGTCTGGAGCGACCTGCCCTTTTCCTGGCCACTACAGAAGCGGGAGAGTCACTGGCAAAGGGTGGAGAGATTGGTGTTGTTGGAGTTACCAGGGGGGATTCTGAGGAACAGGTGTTTGCGATAGGTGAAGCAGCAGCGGCTGAGATCTCATCACTTTTGAGAAACGCTTTTGTGATATCTGATGAAGCCTAGAGGAGAAGACAAATATCATCAGTTAGTTTAAAACGAATACATTGTAATTGCAGGCATATTTAATTATTTTGTTATTAGTTTTTAACATTTAGTTTCAATTTCTAGCATATTTTACATGAATCAGAAAAATATGCTTCTATTTTTCATTTAATGTTAAGCTAAATGTGTCCTTACAAAAAAAAAAAGCAATTTACTATGTATTCGTTTTTAAAATTCTAATAATAGCTGAAAATTATTTCACAATAAAATGTAACACAATAAGAATGATAACACTTTTGTTGGAAAATTACTGAATATGGTGCAAAACATGACTTATTTTTTATTCTTACAATTTTGACAAATGGGGCAAGTAATAGTGAGAGCATAAATTCAGAAAACCAGTTTTCTTTAGTGATAAATAAAACTGATTTTTAAAACCGTTGTGTTTGGCAAAAAATAAATAAGCAGATTGAATGGAGGTCTATCTGTACAACAAGGCAATCACATTTTAGTTTTCTATTCTCTGCTGATTGCGGTCTGCACTAAGCCACTGTGTAAAAAATACAGAAATAACAGATATCTTACCTCAAGATCATCAGTCTCTCTCTCTTCAGTCCATAGACACTGAAAAGGCACACAATAAATAAGCACCATGTTTAAGAAGGTACACAACACGTATATGCAAACACATCCATGCACACACGCACAAACACAAATAGACAAGCAAAACAAAGTTTGACTGGGCTCGCTGTAGCTTGTCTACTTCTTTATGTTATATTCCCCTGACCTATTGGAGTCCATTTGCACTTGGTTTGATTACTGAACTTCGAACCTTGGGTTGTTCATCTGGGGAGGAGACACTGTCTTTGCTGATACGTGTCCAGCCTCAGGTCCAGAAGCTGTGTTTAGGCAATCCCGCTAATCATAAACGTCAGCTAATCATTAACTCTACGTGCTGTGTGCTTCTTAGCAGCCTATATGACACTGTCGCGATGTACCACTCCAGAGGAAGAGTTGTGAATGTTATTCATCCAATAAAACATACAGCTGTTGGCAGGGGTGATCAACAAATCAAGCCAGAGCAATGAAATGAATCGGTTTGTCCTGATTGACTACAAAATGATATCAGATTGAGGCTGTGGTTGCATCATCAGATACAAGGGTCACCCTTGTGAGGAACATATGACGCAAAGCATGAAAGTTCATGCTTCAACAAAAATCTGTCTACTGTAATTTATGACTTCATGTGTTAAGGTCAAGGTCATCTAATGAACTGGTCTGTTCCAATTATTAAGCGCTTAGAATCAGTGGTGGATGAAGTACCTGAAAGCCACACTTAAGTATAAGTACAGCTATCTTACCAGAATATGAATTTGGTAGAAGTTAAAGTCACCATTTATAATATTAACTGAGTAAAAGTTTTAAAGTGATATTTATTGTACCCAAGTATGAAAAGTATTTATTTTTTAATATTAAACTAATATTAAACTAAATTAAGTATAGAAAGTAAAAGTACAAGTAAATGCAAAATGCAAAATGGAAAAGGAGCAAATAAATATGAAAAAATGTTTATACACAGTTTGAGCAGCAAGATGTGTTCAGTTTTAACTCTTACTTCCATTTTGCATCTTTGGGTAAGCATAAGAGTCACTTCATCTGGTACTTAAGTCTCTTTCATTCCAACATAAGAAAACATTTCTGGAATCTGCATCTGAAGTGGCATTTAGATGTATTTACAAAATAAATGTATATAAAAATGCACAGCTTGAGTAGCAAGATTGTGTTCAGTTTTAACTTTCTTCCATTTTCCATTTTTGGGTAAGAATAAGAAGCACTTCATCTGGTACTTAGAGTCTTTCATTCCAAGATAAGAAAACATTTCTTGAATCTGCATCTGAAATAGCATTTAGATGTATTTACACCATTTAATGTATGTCAGAGGGGGCATGGATGCATTTAACCTGCAGTTACAAATGCATAAATAATGATTTATTTTAAACATAAAACGCTGAATAACGTTACAGATATTTGAAATTATTTAAAACATGAAAAAAGTTGAAATGTGAAATTAAAAACCTATTCATTCAAACGACTGATTCATTCAGGAACTAAGCATTTGATTGTGTTAATGAGTGAGTGACTGAATCATTAATTCAACCGATTCGTTCAAAAAGCAGACTCATCCAATAAGGAAACACCATCCTGTGTGTTGCTCAGAGACGCAAAACAGTGCTGTGATCTTTGTTTGTAACTATTTTCGTTGGCAAAATTGAGCAAAAACAGGCAATACTGTGTCTAAAATGTAAGTCACTTAATGCTAATGTAAGTCACTTAATGCTAATATTACATTTGTTATCATTTGACAATGATGAACATTTGTTATCTGCAGAAAAAAACGGCACTCTTCGTGAGATATAGATTAACTATATTAAATTATATACAGTAAGTATAAAGGACATATAGAGGCATTTTTGCAGCCTACAATTTAAAATGCCTTGAATTTTAAAGGTGACCTATTATGCAAAAATCACTTTTATTAGGTGTTTGAACAGTTATGTGGCCGCAGTGTGTGAAAACAGCCAGCCTATAATGGTAAAAATCCAACCACTGGTTTTTTTATAATGCTAATAAATCATAAACTGTCTCTTCAAACGAGCGATTCCAGATTTCTCCCTATATACACGTCATACTAGGGAAAGTCCCGCCCATTTGTGACGCTCTCTGCCCTATTAGCATAGACCCCAACCTGAGTGAGAAGTAGCAGTTCACCATTACTGTTTTCTTGCTGTAGCTGCTGGAGATACAATGTCAGCACCAAAGAGGCATTACAAGTGTCGTGTGTTGGGATGCACCAATGAACATAGGTCTCCATAGACTGCTGAGGACACAGTGGTTAAATTTCATTTTCGAAGGAAATGTCCCGGAAAAAAACGGAAAAGTCCTATATGTTTGTGCGAATCATTTTACGCCTGACTGCCTCACAAACGAGGGTCAGTTCAGTGCTGGAGTTGTGCAAAGATTGCTTCTGAAAGAGGGATCGATACCAACGCTTCGTGCACAAACGTCCAGAGTCCAGACAAAGTAAGCATCACGCATCATTTTGTTTTCCAAAAGAGATTCTTGGCTGAAGAGATTCTTCAATAGGTCATCTTTAATAATCTGATACAAGTAAGCATCACGCGTCATATTTTGTTTTCCAAAAGAGCTTTTGGCTCTCTGTAAGGCCAATGTTGCTAAAGCTACCATTGTTTCTGCCTGTTTTCACTGATGCTGCCTTCACGTGCCTTCACGTGCCTTCAAGCAATGTGAAGTCGACCGCTTGAATTTGTAGAGCTCATAATGTGATAGCACGCGAAGGCACCATGAGTCCAGCTATGTCGTTATTTTTAACGTGTCATGCTCCCGTCTGTGTAACTCATAAATGTGCATTTACTATGCACAGTACTCTCAGATTGCGTGATGTTTTCCTGTTTTGTTGTTGCTCTTGAAGCTCCGCCCTCTTCTGAAAAGGGAGGCGGGAGCACCAGCTCATTTGCATGTAAAGGGACAAACACAAAAACGGTGCATTTAGGCTCATACCCTAAAAGTGGCCATTTCAACAAGCTATACAAAAATGATCTGTGGGGTATTTTGAGCTAAAACTTCACATACACACTCTAGCGACATCAGAGACTTATTATACATCTTGTAAAAGGGGCATAAAAGGTCACCTTTAAATAGACTAAATCACATGCTGTATACGTGTACATGTGTGTTTTTGTGATATACTCTATAATGTCAGATCGCACATCATTAAAACAACATGCCATATTATCGCAGACTGTATGTCGCACACCCCAGCCTGAAATTGAGTGGAAAATGAAATCATCCGTGCTTGTGCGAGCACTTGTTTGCACATGAGTAAAGGTGTTTTTTTAGGAGTCTAACTTACAAACGCCAGACCACTGATTCGTCAAACCTGCTTTCTTGCAGTCTGTGTTCTTCTGACTTTAGTTTGTAGTAAGTAACGAATATGCTTCGGGGAAATGTATCGGAGTGAAAGTATACATTTTAATTAGGAAATGTAAAAGTGAAAGTTGACAGAAATATAAAAACTCAAGCAAAGTACAGATTCTCCCAAAAAATACTTGGTACCACTGTTAGAATAAGATTGTCCTCTTTGACTTTATGGCAATCACTGATATGACATCTACAATCTGACATGTGTCTTGTACGTTTTTAGAGATTTCACATTTGGTCGGAAAGAAAAGTGCTTGTCCTGTCTTGCTGCTTATTATCAGTCAGACTCATTCATTCAATCAACAAAAGTTAATCAATATTGTCTGGAGGAGGACAAACAAGTTACATATGAAAGTATAGAGCAAATCTTGCCAAGCAAATGTAAACACAATTTGTAACATAAGCAGCACACACACTACAATTTTTCAGTTTTGTTGTAGGCAAGTAATGTCTGACTCTGAAACACATTTTGGGCCACAAACTGCATGTCTTAAAGTAATGTTCTGGGTTCAACACAACATGAGAATTCACAGCATAATGTCCCACAGAAAACTGTGGTGACAGTGCGGTAAAAATATGAATAAATAAATAAAGTTATTTAATTGTACTATAAAGCTGTCTAAACCATCTGGGTCTACCATTATAGAAAGATAAACTTCTAGTTGTTCTCCATTGAAGATCTCTATGTGAAATTAATTGGATTTTACAATTTTAACTGGTCCTGACAAAAGTGGAAATAATAGACTATTTTACAAAGAAAAGGCTGGTAAATAATTATATCACAATACTTTCATGCAAGCTAAACATTTTTAGCTTTTACATGAACTTTAAAAGTTTGATTCAAGTCTAAAGCAATAATTTGTCTTCCTAAAATGTCATGTAAACACTTTTGTCTGACAGAAGTTGTACCAATTGTAGCTTGGTTTCATACAGCATGTAGAAACCTACCCCTGACTACAATTACCCATGACGATTTGACACACAATGTGAATTTAATCATTCAAATATGTAGTTGCGCATTGTGTCTTCTTGGACAAAGCATGATTACGCAAAAATTCATTGTAGTTTGATTACAACTGTGAATGTAAATGTACTTGCTGTGCTTTTGTATATTGAGAACCATTTTTTTCTGTGGTAACTGACATTAAGCCACAAATGTGGTCTCTAGATCTAAACTTGTATTGAAGAAGAAGGCCATAACAGTTTAAATTGGACAATATGGACTCATTAGGATCGTCTTACCTCCAAGTTAACGTTACTGCCATTGACTGTCTGCTTTTGACTGGGGCTTGAGCACTGCTTGGGTATTTGAAAGTAGTGGTTATTTATTCCATTTTGATGGCACTCCATAGGTTCACAGTATTTTTCCAGTGGAGAGACTGGGGCATCTAAACACAAATCTGTCGAGGACACAGCCACCTGAACATAGTCACTTATTAGGGCTGTTGTTTTGCTAGGAGGCTCCAAAGAGTCATTTAGAATGGAACTAAAGACAGCGGGACAGGAGGGCGCCGGGTGTAAATTTGGGATGTGTTGGTGAGTGTTGGCCTGCTGGGCCTTGCTGGGTGTGGGTGAAGGCCTCCGCTGGCGCCCACTTAATGGTACACATGGGGTTCTGCGGGAGTAGTCATCATGTAGCTGACTGATAGGTAACAGAGGTATTCTGGGGGCGGGGCCTTGCGTGTTTTTACACTTGACTGACAGGTCGGTTAAACTACCGACAAGTTTTTGCAGATGTCCACGTGTCCTCATGGGGCTTTGACGTCTACCTGAATCATGTTCCTGCAAGTCAACCGATGAAGAACTGGTGGTCCTCTGAAGAATTATAGTACTGGGGCATTCTGGGTTCTGTGGCTCAGCTGAGGTGACATTGCGTCTAAAATGACCCTTGAAGACATGGAGATTATCTGCACTCTTGCTTAGTCTTTTGAGAACACTGACATTTTCATGAGTCTCAAGGTTCTTGCAAGGTATGATGGACTCCACAGTGCTGCTGGGGTCAGGCTCACTGGTAGTCGGGCTCTCTGTCTTAGCTATGTCAAGCAATGAGATCCGTCCTGCCCCATAAGCCTTGCGGATACTCTGAGAGAAATGGGAATTCCTCTGAAACCCACACACTTCCTCCTCACAGTCATCTTCATCCGAAACCGAAGATGTCTTTCCGGTTCGAGCCGTCCCATTTGACACTTTGTCAGTTTCCTGGATTTGATTGGTTGCAACCTCTCGTTTGGTTACTAAAAAACTACCGCCATCCTCAATCATCGAGGACAGATTTCTCTCCTGACCGGCTGCCATCGCATTGCTGCGGTTCTGGATTCCTTGGAGCACAGAAGTCCGCAGTTTTTTGAAAGAACCCATGACACGGAAACTAGCCAATCCAGACCAAGCCTGTGGTGTGACGGGTGGTCCTCTGAGCGGGGCATTGTCCTCACATTTTGTCTGGGTGGGAAACAGACGCACATCCCTGGAGGGATACAGCTTGGCTTGGCCATTGGCAATCACGGGAACAGTCTGGGCCTGAGAATTCAGTCCGTTAAGCCGGTTCTCCTCAAAGCAAGGCTCAGACAGGACTGGTTGCATATGGACTGTACAACTAGACCTCAGACTTGGATTCATCAGCTGCTCATCTGTGAAAGGGTAACTCTGCAGGTCATTGTTGTGAGAGGAGCCCTGTGGGTCCGACGAAGGTGCCTGCAGAACCAGATTGAAGAAAGTTTAATCTTGTTGAACAAGCTGACAAATCTGCATCAGGTCTTGGAACAAAGAACACAAACCATGTGACGTGGAGTGAGACAATCAATGACCCACTGTTTTGTCTGAGAAAGATTTTAACTTTATACTTCAATGAAACAATACAACACCAGTATGATAACCATAACCTCGATAAGTCACAAGAACTTTCAACTATATCCTTATATTACCTGTTTGATTACTTGACCTGTGCAATAATAAAACTCAGCAAAGGTGAAGCAATTCAAAGTGTTCTTATCCACCCACAAGTGTAAATTAAGCTTCAACGTTCCTCCTATGGATGAATAATGCCTTTATCTGGTAAATTGGAGGGTGTCAGTCGCATGAGAGCTTTGCTTTGCACTAAGTGCTGTAAAATTTCCTGTAAAAGATTTAAGCTATGCCTTTTTTCCTAAGAAAGAGAGGCCCCTCTACCAGGGTGTGGAACGTCGTTGCCTGGTGCGATGTTCGTTATGATGAAAGGCTTTTGTGAGCATGACTAAGCAATGAAAACCTGTAATCCATTGTGATTAATGCAATAAATTGCCCAAGTTTTTCTAGCTATATTCTGAGTGAGGAGAGATGGGTCCACTTCAGGAAGTTGAGCTGCTTTAACCCATTTTTTGCCAAGTCAGAATAAACAGAGTATTTAATCAGATTGTTTAATCACAAATAAATCACAAATTGTAAATATCAATATTTGTTTATAAAAGCCCACAAATTAAAATAACACATCAATTGTCAGTTCCTGAGGAAACTGTGGAAAATTAAATTAAATATATATTTACAGTGTAGATTAAATGTGATCCAGTCTTACCTCACTGAGATGATTCTCAAATCTCCAAACTTTTTCATGTAGTATCAAAGACTTGGACCTTTAACATTATGACCACTTCAAGTTCACAGTTCATCACATTAACTATGGAAATATTTCTTGTTTAACCATCAGAATTGCTTTTTAGTCTTCATTTGATTTTTGTTCAATCATTTAAAACGTTTTTTTTTTTTTTACACGTATTGACTGAAATGTGTGTTTCTGCCATCTTTCTTTATGCCAAATGGTTTAAGATTTTCTAATGCAAACATTCATATATTAAGTGTGGACTGTTCAAATACTTCTTGGGACCACTGTATTTAGATTAACCGCGTATACATTTTGACCTTTAGTTTAGTTGTGTGAGCATAGGTTGATTCTAGCTCAATTTTCAACTCAAATGCTGATCTCTATCACATCAAGACCTACTACCCATAAACACTCAGCTCCATCGAGGCATGAGGAAGAAGCTGCCACCTGACCTTTTTGTTTGAAAGAATGTAATTAACTCAACTTCCAAGTCACTCCTCAGTCTACTCACATGTCCAAAGTCTCTGAGTTTAAAGCTGGACTTCTCTCCTACTCTTCCTCCTCTGCATCATCACTGTTGCCAAGTAAGAATTAAATAGAAGTCCAAACAACCTCTGTGCAGCTACCAGCTGGAGTCAGGCTCAAACTAAACTCCCTAAACAAGTACTCAGACAAACATAAACACAAGCATGACTACGGAAGCCACTAATAGACCCAAAACACACCTACAACTAATATGCACTGATGCAAGCATACTGAACACTGATGATGCATACAGACAGCAGTCAAAAACTATTTTACTCATTTTCCAGCTCCAGATGGAGGAGGAACAAGAATTTATGCTGCTTGATAAACACAACTTCCTTGTGCCAGAAATTAAAACTTCTTATTTAAGGGTTTTAACACAAGGAAGAAAATATTTTTTACCCACTGAGGCATTAAAACATACAGCTCCACTGTTAATTGAAATAAAACCAAAAATCACAATATGCCTTGGATATGGAAACAAAAGAGAAGCTTTAATGGCTCCCTATAGTTTTCTAAAATAAAAAAAAAGCACAACATGAATTAAGACAGACATAAATAATGTAACTTTTGTCATTTTAATTAGTTTTTCTTAGTCAGTTTTTACAGTGAACTATTACAACTGTGAGCCTGGAGCTTTAAAACAAAACAAAAAAATTCTCAGAAAAATCAGTTCTTGAAGGCACATTCAATTAAAAAAAATCTAATTTTGACATTATTTAGTCAACATCATGTCTTTCCAAAACTGTCAGACTTTCTTCGGAGGAAAACAAAAGAACGTATTCTGAAAAATGTCTCGGTGTTCATATTGGTTTGGAATGACATGATGTTGACTAAATTATTTTTGTTTTTTTTTGAGTGAACTGTCCCTTTAAAATGAAGGTGGCAGCTGTGAAGGATGACTTCGTACAACACAAATAAAAACAGACAAGCCCAAAATGATGCTTCCTGACTAAGGAAATTCCTAAGAATAATCAACCACACCAGTTCTCTTAATCTGCCCATCAAGATGAGCAAGTCCTGCCATGCTGTCACATCACTATGGAATGAAGTCTATGCTTGCTTTATTTAAATAGTAGTAGGAAAATTACCAAAGCCACAATTGCAACAAGCTTTTTTTTTTTTTACTCTTTCATTTTGGCATACGATGGCAACACCGCCCTTTAGCCATCCAGACTTTCTGTTTTATTTATATCTTTGTTGATTATCTTACATTTATAGTCGGTGTTTGTAGTGAGAGTGAAAAGATTTAATTTGACTCACCCGATGATGATCCTTTCACTGGCTAAAAGAGAGTTTCACAGTGAAAATGTTTAAGGATGCTAGCTTTCCTCATCCCTCCGGACAAGATTGCACTCGCTCAGACCCACATGATAATGTGTGTAGCACCCCTCTCCCTGTCCTAATCGGATTATGAAGCTTTATCAGTCTGGACTAACATTAATATATCTGCATACTGTCACATACGCTCACACACACATATAACCATGTGTGTGTAGAGAGAGAGATGATGTTCACTGAAGCAATAACCTCTTAAATCAGTCTGGCAGGTTTGGCATATGTGATTTACTATTTTTGTTCGGGTACTGATACCACCTACCATATTACGACCCAGTTCTCTTTTTGTCAGTGAGAACAAGAAGCACTGTTAGGAGGCAGACACACCCATCCTGCTTCAGGCATTGGAAGCGTCAAGTAATGCTACATTTGACACCCCATTCATCTCACCTGTCTCATGACCTGCATTTGTCTACTCCAAGTCCACTGGTGGAAAACATGTCAAGGAAGTGCATGTCAATACAGATGTGAAAAAAAGGTCAGACCTTTCACTAAACATGTGGAACAAGAAGTTGGTTTTAAAGGGATAGTTCACCCCAAAATTAAAATTCTGTCATCATTGACTCACCCTCAAGTTGTTCCTAGCATGTATGACTTCATTTATTCTTTTGAGCACAAAAGATGATGTTTTGAAGAATGCTGTTAACCAAACAGTTAAGGTAGCCATTGAGGTATGGAGAAAGAAAAAAAAACTGTGGAAGTCAATGGCTACCATCAACTGTTTGGTTACTAACGTTCTACAAAGTATCTTCTTTTATGTTCAGCAGAAGAAAGAAGGTTTGGAACAACTTGAGGGTGAGTAAATAATGGCAGAATATTATTTTTGAGTGAACTATCCCTTTAAAGAGACAGTGCACAAAAAAAAAATTGTCATCATTTATTTACACTTATGTCATTCCAAATCTGTGTAACTTATTTTTTATTCAATGGATCACAACAGGAGAAAATCTGCATACTATAAATAATAACAATAATAATGTGAAGACAATTATTCAGTTTATTCAGTATTCAGTAATATTATAGATTTAACTGCACTGACACTATTGGATGAGAATACATTTGAACTGAATTGAGCTGGATATTGACACAACTTTGCAACATTAACACTGTAATTGAACTGAACTAAATAAAAAAAAACTAAATTGAGCTTAATAATGACACTATTCCCTTTCGTAGAGCTGCTTTACAGCTGAAATTTAATGTTTTAAAATTTATTATTTTACAACATTAACACTTTTTTTGGTTTATTAATGTGAGGCTGCTTTGAAACAATTTGTATTGCAAAAAGCACTATATAAATAAATGGTAACTCTTTTCAGTGCAATTACAATGAATGGGGACTGAAGATTTTAAAATGCTTCAAAAAGGTTGCAAAAGTATCATAAAAGTAGTTCATATTACTTGTCCACCATATTACAGGTTTCTCAAGTCATTCAATAGCTTTCTGTAAGCAACAGACTTAAAGTTAGTCAGTGATAATTTTCACCTTTAGAGGGCTGTGAACCATTGCGACTGGATTGTTGAATCAGTAAGTTGAACTCGAGAATGGGATCAGTCCGGTTTGTGAACAATTAATTCAGACAGGTTTTGCGAATTGAATCAACTGCGATTCATTAAAAAGATCCGACTCAAAAGAATGATTTGTTCAAAGTATCACTGCTTCTCTCATGAACTCTCATGAGCTTACCAAAGGAGAGCTATAGGGCAGATGTCAGTCTTTTCATTTCTGCCTGTTTCTCACACAAAAGTTATTGTATTATTTCAGAAGACTTGTATAGCGCAAAAGTCATGTGAACCACTTTTATGATATGTTTATAGTGGTGTTTTTTGTCATTTTGGAGCCAGTTCTTATTCACCTTTATTACATATAAAAAACAACAGCCAGAATATTTCTCAAAAATTTACTTTTTTCCACAGAAGAAAGTCAGTGAAACGACATGTGGGCGAGTAAATAATGAAATTGTGTGTGTGTGAACTTGTCCCTTTTAGCTATATGCATGCATAGAATTCAAAGAATTGTTTATGGCATAATATGACTTTCAAACATAAGCACATTCAAAACAAATGCTTTCTACTGACAAAACACCATTAAACACTTTAACACATCAATGCATTTGTGCGCTATCAGGGAGTAAAATCGTTGAGAAGAGGGTGGGAAGTGAGATTTAGCCTTAATTTATGGCAGCCATAGATTAGGAGGCACCCAGTGAGGCATTAAAGTTCCTTGTGCGGGTCTTGTAATAACGCAGACACTCTCATTATGTGTGGAGGAGTGCATTCCAGTGCCTGTGTGTCGATGTTTTACAGCAAGGCAATTGTTTAGAGAAGTGAAAGTGCTGGGCATAGTACTTTTAACCAGCTGTTACCGTGAATTACAAATTATGATTGCACTGACATTCTTTTTCTAGCATGTTTAATTTATCTGTCATAACTTATGATGTCAACAGCAGCACATGGCTTGCATATGACAAACATGTGGCAGACTTTAGACATTATATTAAAGCATGAGAAATGAGTCACTTACAAATCTAAATGTAATCTATTTTACAAAAATCTTGAATACATTTACAATAGAGCTTCTCACAGTGGATTTCAAGCACCCCCACTGTCAAAGACAATGTTAGAAGGCCCCCCACGTAGGCTAAGATACTTTAATTCTGGTGCTTTAGCTGTAATTATGACAAAGCTGCTTGTTTTCAAACGATTAACATAATTAACCTTGATTATTTCCGTAATTCCTGAAGTCTCACAAATTGTATGTTCCCACACTTTCTTATCTATGAATTTTTCTAGCTGTTAGTGATTATTGGATAAGGATTTTAATAATTAAAACTATAATATAATTATAATTAATATCTGATATATTAAGTTCTCATTTGATAAAATATTTTAGAGATTACATAAATATAAAAACTTATATTATTGAAATTTTTATGACTTTTCCATGGCTTTTTCTTTTCATCATCATTATTTTGCCAGGCCTTGAAATCAATCTTACAAAATTTGCTCTGAACAAATATTAAAATAACAGATCTTGCATGGTATACATAAACATTTTCACTCTTTAATATATATAAATAAATAGTCACTTTACAGCACACTTGGCGGTTTCTGCTAAAATAAATAATAATACTGAAGTTTTCTGGTCTTTACTGGTCTCCTAGTCTGGTCAAGCTGGTTTTAGAGAGGTTTAAAGTAGCTGACCCACTAGTTAACATCAGCTTGGCCAGACCGTGAGACCAGCTAAACCAGTTAAGAACATCAAACCATTGTAGCCTGGTTTAAGTCATTGTTGTTGTGTTTTCAGCAGAGCTTTTGAGTCCACCTAGTGGGCCTCGGCCCCCTGGTTAAGAAGCAGAGATTTATAAAACACTGAGTGAAATGTTTGTTTCTTAACATAGCTGAAAAAGCCCCTTTGGTTCCACCACAAAGAAAAACATTTCAAGCAGGGCAGATCAATACAAATATTTCAGCTTTAAAGGCACAATATGTAAGATTTTTTTATTAAAATATCCAAAAACCACTAGAACAGTTTTATATATTTTGCTGACTTATGTACTTACATTATCCCAAATGTTTCGAAGAATGTTTAAATCCAGAGAAATAAGCAATTTTAACTAGTGACACGGACCGTGTCTATAGTGTCATTGTGTTGCCTGCCAATGACGTCATACACCCTCGATTTCCGGTTTTGTTTTGTAGAAAACATAGAAACAACAAAGACGCTTTAATATGCTATGCATTTTATTAGACAGGTGACGACCGCACAGTAGCATTATAACAGAACGTTCAAATGTATCTAGTATGATAAAACAGCGCTGCTTACTTCCGCTGCTTTCTGGAAGGAGCGGAAGCGGTCGAATGTGGCATAATAAAAGCTCCGCTGCTTTCGAGCCGTGTGTCGCGCTCGTTCAGCGGCCTCGTTTTGCTTTGATGGCTTTCCGCCTCTCTCTGCTTCATACTACGACGTTAATAAATCTTTAATACATTAGCTCATCCATGAACATGATTTCTGCCCGAGTCCCATCGTATTGCTTCGGCTGTGGGGATGAAGACGACAACAACTCCCATGATTCCACACTCAAGTCACAGCGTCATCTAATTATGCCTTTGTTTCTTTTGAATACGCACCCTCTAGCGGCAAAAAATTATATATTATGCCTTTAAAGGGGTCATATGATGCTATTTCAATTTTTCCTTTCTCTTTGGAGTGTTACAAGCTCTTGGTGCATAAAGAAGATCTGTAAAGTTGCAAAGACTAAAGTCTCAAATCCAAAGAG